GCCTCCAGCCTGCATCCGTCCTCCCGCCACCAGTGACTTCCGAGGTCCCCAGAGTGTGTCAGCAGCAGGTGCAGAGCCCGTCTCAGGGTCCAGCCTCCTACTCTGTGTCCCTTCCTTGCCATTGTCCCTTTTTCTGGGCCACCATTCATGGGAAGCCAGTCCCGTTGGCAGTGGCCCCATTCCTGTGCCACCAGCCACTCTTCACAAGGCCCAGGCCTCCCCGGAAGCCCCCACAGCGGGTCTGAAGATGTAAATGAGGCCCCTTCAGCTGCAGCTGCTTCCTGGAAAGAAACCCCAACGCGCACGCACGCGCCCTGTGCAAAGCCCTCTGCATCTCCTCCATCCTCCAGCCTGGTGTGACGGCTCCCGTTTCCTGACCTCACTCGGCAGGTAGACAGCACCAGGGCTCTCATTCCTCCTAAGACCCAGAGCCCGTCTGCTAATGCGTTTGTGCTTCTGGGTCTGGCCCACAGCCTCCGTGGGAAGATGAACCAGGGCAGCAGATGTAGACACCAAGGGGGCGTGCAGCCTCTGCCGTCACCAAGAACCTATACAGTCTCCGGCTCCCATTTCATTCATTCATTCATACCGGCATCATTCATTCATTCTTTCGTGCGTGCATTACGTGCGTGTGAGTATATGTACTTAGTTACTCGTGCATGTGTGCAGTGACTCGTGCATACATGCATTCACACATTCATTCAACAAACATTCGAATATATATAGATATATATATATATATATATCGGGGATTTGTAGTACAACAGAGAACCAACAACAGTGGGAGACACCTGCACCCCGGGAGTTAGCATTCTAGGGGGGTTGAGGACAGAGCGAGTGAATTGTGACGTGCAAGGAGGTATACAACACACATGCAAGCCAGGCAAGGGCTGAGCCTCAGAACTTTCTCTTAATACACAGATTGATTGCTTTCCTCAGGAAGCCCACCTGGCTTTTCTTTGTCCCGGGCTCCCAAAACTAAGCAGCTAGCTTGGGTACAACAGGGGCTCCAAGAGAGCCACCGTCTTGCAAGCCTTCCTGTCAGAGGCCAGGGAGGACACCAGCTGGTTACTCACAGGCAACCCCAGCACAGTAGATCCAGTAAAACTTGACAAGGCTCACACCCAGATCCCAGGTTAGTCCTGCTGACCCTGGACCCTATGAAGCCGAGGTTTCGACCCTGGCAGCACCAGGGCCCTGAAGTCCCTGGTAACAGACCTCTGGGATAGGAGTAGAACCCAGCCTAACAGGCACCTATGAAGTGCCAGGGTTGAGTCTCCAAAGTGGCTACCCCTACGGTAACTCCCAGGTGTGTCTTCAGACCTCAGGAGCCACGTGAGTTAGGGTCTCAGCACTGTCTCCAGCTCTTGAACTCCAGCCCCAATTCCAGGTGTGTGACCTTGAGCAAGCTAGTTCTCCTAGTCACTCAGTTTCATTATCCGTAAGTCAGGATTAACGACGGTGCCTACATCAGAGAGTGTGGGCCAGTGGTGACTCGCAGGTAGTAAACACAGCTGTAGACATGGTGCTTGTGTTTGCTGGGGCTGTGGTTTTGTCAGCAAATCCATCCATCGGGCGCTCTCACCATCCCTGTAACTCAGGACGACAGGTGTCCGCGGTACCACAGAAACGCAGGGCAGGACTATCTCAGCCCCACGGCCCTGGGGTTACAAGTGTGTGCCACCATAACCAGCTCCTTTAAAGCAGGTGTCAGGGGATGAACTCAGGTCCTCATTCCCGCAGGCAAGCAAGTCACCAACTGAGCTGTCCCTGCAGCCTTGCATCCAGATTTTTTAATTGGGAAACCCAGCCTGGCCCCAAGCCAACTGTTGTAACAGGTGGGGAGTCATTGGAAGCTTCCAGATTTACCTCTTTATCTGGCTTTCCGTTTCCCTGGGTCTCTCCAACCACAGGCAGTGAGGGGGTGCTGCTTGCTTCAGTGTGGGTCTTGCATCCCAGGAGACTGCAGACCTCACAGGGCAGGCTGACTCTTCCTTTTAAGATAAAACACTGTAAAACTTTAAAGACGTCTTAAAACACCCCCTAAGCTCGGTCCTCACGGTAATTACAGTTGGCTTTCAAAACGTCCAGATTAAAAATAGACATCAAATCAAGCATGCCGGATGCAGCCCAGAGCCAGGAGCTGTGTTCAGGACATCCTAGGCCCCGCCCCTCCCCTGGCCTATACTTTGAGGACATCACAGGGAGATGAAAGGAGTTGGTGGCAGGGCGAGGGTAGAGCCTCTCGGCGTCTGACAGTAAACTGGGTTCTGTGTTCTGTCATTAAGGACCACTGTGAATTGGTCCAAGATGTTAGAGCCCCACCGGGACATAGCATGGATCTGCAGCCCTCAAAGCGTGGTCCCCCACAGCAGCCATGCTTGGCATTTGGTGGGGTTCTCTCTCCCACTGAATCCGTATTAACTGCTCCAGCCTGGAGGACCCTAGGATAGGACTGGAACTGGAGGCGGGGCTTTAAAGATACCATTAAGGAAAACTAGAGCTGCCTGGATGGTATGCTGGTTCGGGGTTGCCTGCCGAGGGAGAACGGTGTATGCTGGTTCGGGGGAGGCTGCCGAGGGAGGATGGTGTATGCTGGTTCGGGGGAGGCTGCCGAGGGAGGGTGGTATGCTGGTTCGGGGGTGCCTGCCGAGGGAGGATGGTGTATGCTGGTTCGGGGGAGGCTGCCGAGGGAGGGTGGTGTATGCTGGTTCGGGGGTGCCTGCCAAGGGAAAGGACAGTGCAAAGAGCCAGAAGGAGAGGCCGTCATGGGCCAAGGAATGAGGCCTCGAGGGGACACCACCCTGGGGGACTTGATCTAAGAATTCAGTCTCCGTTACTGTCAGGAGATACACGGCTGTGGGTTAAACCTCACTCTGTGGCATCTTGCTCCGTCTTAGCAGAGGAACACTGGCAGGCTCTCCACCCCGCCGCATCTCCAGCTCTGGCTGGAAGCCAGGGAGTAGCCGGGATGCTGTGACCTCCACACGTGCCCACATTTGAGAAGCCCTAGCATAAACTATCACTGATGCTGAGGAGAGCCCGCCCAGAAAGAGTGACGGTGCTGGGGTGAGGGCTGCTCCGCAGGGCAGATGTTCTTTTCATGGATTCTGCAGCCTCTGTAAGAATCTCAGGGGCCTCCTTCCTTGAGAGGAAGAGGGGACCATACACATCACCGCGTTCCTTAGGCAATCCAGTGTTGGCATTCACTCAGCCAAAGACTGAGCCCTTTGAAGGCTCCGTCCTGAGCATACTGGATCCAAGAACCTCCCTCCCTGACTAAATTTTCTGAATCCCTTAGATCTGGTACATCCTTTGCCCCCAAACAATTGAAATGTGTTTCTCTTTGATAACAAGAGCAAGGAAATTCTGTCTCGTTTCCCCCGTGTTCCTGTTGTTCAGAAGCTCACAACCAAATAAGATCCTCAAAATTGCACACAAATCCTCTGCTATGATCTCCTCAAGCCTCTTTAAAGGGGGAAAAAGAGGAAGAAGGGAAAGGTGGGAATGCGGAAGAGATTCCTCCTCCAGCGCCGCTCCCCGACAGAGCCACCTGCAAACCCCTGCTTTGTAGAACTGTCGGGACTGGGCTGGTGAGCAACAGTGTTCTCTTCCAGTGATAAGGAACAAACTGCCGTCCGTGTCTTCTGCTGTCCCCAAAGAGCTGTCCCTCAGATATCTAAGCCCCTCAGACAGATCATGACTGTTATGGCAGTTTCTTTGAGCCCTGGTTGGAGACAAGAATGCCATCCGGGGAAGAGGGGGTGGAAGTGACATTAATGGGTTTTTAAGTTAAAGTCATAACTCTTCGTTGTCCTCTGAGTGGACATTCGGGCTGCTCTCTGAGGTCTGTCCATTTCCGCCTTGGCATTCAAGCCAAGAACTCATCCTTCTCCTCCAGCCTGTTCAGGGCTCCCCTAAACCCAGGTCTCATAAGGCAGGCTTCAGAGAGGCCAGGCAGGATTCCTGGAGCCTAGAGTTTTGTGTAAGAATTTCGTCACTTTTGTGTTTTTTGTCGTGGTGATTTGATTTATTCCATGTGTGTGGGTGTCTTATCTGCAGAGTATGTCTGTGTACTGTGTGTATGCACGGTGCCCACAAAAGCTGTTGGATGCCCTAGAACTGGAGGTACAAGGAGTTCTTAGTCCCCCGTGCAGGCCTTGAGAATTGAACTCAGGTGAGCAGATGGTGCTCATAACCGCGGAACCACCTCTCCAGCCGTAGTGGTGGTATCTTCTGAAACCATTAAGTATTTCTGGATAACAAGTCCCACCCTAGATATCCTAGGTCCTACCATGTGACATCAGGGTCCTGGTACTCAATGACAGCCTCAGGGATAATAGGATTAGGTTCTGACTGGGAATGGCTGACCATTCTCACTCCATTTCCATTGCTGTGATAAAATACTCTGACCAAGAGCAACTTAGTGGGGAGAAGGGGATTTATTTGGCTTACAATTCTAGACTATCGCCTGCCACTGGGGGGGAATAAAAACACAGTCAAGAGCAGAGAGAAATAAATACATCCTTCCTTGCACGCTTGCTAGTGTTTTTCACTCCTCTATAGAACAGAGCCCAGCCTAGGGAACAGTGACGCCCACAGTGGGCAGGGTTTTCCTACATCAGTTAACAATGGAGACAATCCCCCACAGTCGTGACCCCAGGCCATTCTAGTCTAGATAATTTCTCATTTATACTCTCTTACCAGATGATCCTAGGTTGTATCAAGTTGACAGTTAAAACTAACCAACACATCTACTCTGGGGAGGGCCTTTTGCTCTTAGAGAACACAGACATCTTACCAGGCCTTCCCCTCTGACCTCTGTGGAGCCTCCCACGCTAAGCAGTTAGGCTGAGCCTCACCTCACCCTGCCTCCAAAAGCTGTGCACATCACATGGTGTAGATAACTGTTTGAATAAATGGATCAGCCTCCGTTGCAACCACGTAGGAATGTTCTAGATAAGCACTCATTTCTCCGCCCTCTTCTATCCCCTCTGCAGCTGGAGCTGTCCAATACTGCCATCCTGCACCAGATGAGACGGGACCAAGTGACAGACACCTGCCGGGCCAACAGCGCCATGAGCCGAAAGCGTCGGGTGCTGACCCCCAACGACCTGAAGCACCTGGTGGTGGATGAGGACCACGAGCTCATCTATTGCTACGTGCCCAAGGTGGCATGCACCAACTGGAAGAGACTCATGATGGTTCTGAGCGGCCGGGGCAAGTACAGCGATCCCATGGAGATCCCCGCCAATGAGGCCCACGTCTCGGCCAACCTGAAGACCCTCAACCAGTACAGCATCCCAGAGATCAACCACCGCTTGAAAAGCTACATGAAGTTCCTGTTCGTGCGGGAGCCCTTCGAGAGGCTCGTGTCTGCCTACCGCAACAAGTTCACCCAGAAGTACAACACCTCCTTCCACAAGCGCTACGGCACCAAGATCATCCGCCGCCAGCGGAAGAACGCCACGCAGGAGGCCCTGCGCAAGGGGGACGACGTCAAGTTTGAGGAGTTCGTGGCCTACCTCATCGACCCCCACACACAGCGGGAGGAGCCCTTCAACGAACACTGGCAAACGGTCTACTCCCTCTGCCACCCTTGCCACATCCACTACGACCTCGTGGGCAAGTACGAGACGCTGGAGGAGGACTCCAACTACGTGCTGCAGCTGGCCGGAGTGAGCGGCTACCTGAAGTTCCCCACCTATGCAAAGTCCACCAGAACTACCGACGAGATGACCACGGAGTTCTTCCAGAACATCAGCGCCGAGCACCAGACGCAGCTCTACGAAGTCTACAAACTGGACTTTTTAATGTTCAATTACTCAGTGCCAAACTACCTGAAATTGGAATAAAGGGGCGTGGGGGGGGTGGTTGGGGGAGAGAGGGAGAGAATCCTGCTTTTTAATTTAAGATTTTTTATTTGTCAAAAGAATTCTATGGATACTGGGTTATTTTGTAAGTTAATATGTCTCGGGGGAAATGCTGCGAGCGGCATGGCAAGAATTATTTAAATCCTCCACGGGAAAGGACAGCTGTCTGTGCAGGGAAGCGGGGTGGAGCGTCCCTGTTCTTTAGAAGTGGAAACCGCAACACCATCTCCAAGGTGTCCTTGTGTTCTGGTGAATTCCACAAACTGTGTGTTCCGTGAAGTCTAATGGTTCTTATTTATAGTAATTTAAACGTGATCTCTGTATAGGTTTCTTTCTGTGGCAGCAGACTGCTCGTGTCTTTCTAGAGGAGAATATGGTCTGTGCTTTGCTGGCTATGGCTTGTTTAGGGGGTGTGATTGTCTCCCCGCTACCCTCTCCTGGAATCCCGTGGTGACATCAGCTGGGATGCGTGGATGCCACCGTTCAAGAAACCCTGCTGGAAATAAGTAAATTGTCCTTGCACTAAGAAGTGGGGCGGGGGCGGTTCACACGGATTGCGGGAACCCCAGAGTCCCCGGCAGTAAAGAAATGGAAAGTTTTTAACCCAAGGAGAGAGTGGATGGTGGCAGTTTCTGTTCACCAAAATTACCAATCTGTAAGAATAGGCTTCTTGTGGAAATTTTCAACTGGCACTTTCCAGTTCTGGTGAAGAGTAGCTGTTATTTTATATTTGATAAATATTTATTGAGCATCTACTGTTTTCCAGGCTTGCCTGCAGGCCGAGCATTGAATGAACCCAGTAGCCTTGGCTCTCAGCAAACTTTGTGTGAATACAGGGCAAACTGCTCAACAGTGAACCAGCCCCTACCCTTGCGGTCTTCACATGGGGTTTGGATTATTCTCAAATGGCTCAGAGAGTCCATGACTCCAACAAATTTGCATTTTTCTACAGCTCACAAATTTGAAAACCACACGTTTGAGTCGGTCCACTTCACTAGCTGAGTGACCTAAGTTCATCGCCCAACACAAGAAATGGCAGAAACATTTGATCATGTATGTCTAGCTGCAGTTTCTGGGTAGCAGAAGCCTCGGTCTTCTCCAGACATGAATGGAGGTGTGTTGAGATCGATTAGTGATGTCTGTCTCGGGTAAGGTGGCACCCACGGGCACATGCCCACCCTCCCATGTCTCTGCCTTGACAGAGCATCCAGGACAGCTGCCCGGGATCTTAACCTATGCTCCCTCTCCTCCAGAACGCTGGAAACCAGTGCTTTCTATTCCTTGCTGATCAACACCCAGACCTAGTCCTCATTTCTAGTCATTTCTGAGGCTGCTCAGTTGACATTTGAGCCACGCTCCCGTTACAGCCAGTGTCCGGGTGGGTAGCAGATGCTGTATATAATATTTCTCACGATTGGGGAGGGAGTGGGGTATAAATTTTGCTTTTTGTGTTTTAGTTGGTTTCCTTTGTTTGTTTGCTTTTGTTTTTGATGCAGTCTAGCGTGAAGGGGTGAGAATATTCTGAAAAACAAAATAATGAATAATTTATTCACAGAAACTATTAAGATGGTATTGTTAGGCTCACAGCGAGCCTGGGATCAGCTGTAGCTGCGGCTCCATCTCACGGAGGAAATTATTTAATGTGAGGGGAATACGAGCCAGAGCAGCTGACGGCGGCTATTTATAAAACGCAGGTACCTTCCCCAGTCTCTCTCCCCTCGCCTTTGATAGATAGATTTATGTCATGCCTTTGACCAAGAGCGGTGACAGACTTTGGCCGTCCCTGTCCTCCAGAACTGACCTTCTGCTGATAGGGCGCTCTGTGTGATGTCACTAAGGGGCGCTCCACAGAGCCCGGGCTCTGTAGGGTGTCAGTTTGGAGGGGTTTGTGGTCACGTATCCTTAGGAAACAAAATTAAGTCAGGTTCTTCTCTGCAGGACTTTTCAGGGCCTTTCATACATACGTGCTCTGCCTCGCAAATCTGGGAGAATGCAGCATTTCTGAGCTGCAGGACCCGGTGTCCCTTACGGCAGGTGTGTCTTAGCTGGCATTTCTCACAGTAGCCTTTGGTGAGGGTGGTCTAGCCTGTCTGAGGTCTGCAAGGATTGACAACCGCCTCCTAGGTCCCTCCGCAGACAAACAAGCAGAAACAGCCGCACAGCCTCTGTCTGGGAAGAGGATGAAGTGAATTAGTCTCTACCCAAGTGGGATGGCTCCATCTGGATGCTGCCCCCAGACAGTTAGCCTGCCCCTCCAAACACAGGGGAGGGAAGTCTTGGCTGTCATGGAGGGGGAAGCTGGCATAAGGACACAGAAACAGCCCCTGATTCCTGGCCTTAAAGGCCACTCAGTGGGGACGATGGCCTCGTGACAAACACTTCTCACTTCCACCCACAGTTTGGAACTGTGTGCTCCGGGGGTTTTAAATGGAAATTCGTGTTGGTTTTCGTGTTTTGCATGTCTGTTTGTCTTTCATCTGTGGTACAGTGCTGTGTGCAGATGGCTGTTACTCCGTCTTTCTCTCTGAAGTGAGAAAGATCGTCCTTCAGGGGGACCATGTGTCTGCTTCTGGGATGAAGGCCTCTCCTGTTTTGTGTTCACGTTTTATTTTCTAATGACATTTTTAAAAACATGTATTGGTTCAACTGTTTTGTAGAAGGTAGGAAGCATTCTGTGTCCCTAGCTGAAGATATCCATTGGTGAAGTGTGCTTGGAAACCCAAGTGTTTTCTACAGGAAAACGTTGCAAAGACTTTCTCTTGCTCTCGTGCTTAGCTAGGAAAAGGAGCTGCTGGCGTCCCGGCTCTGGGCCGGGGTCCTGTTCAAAGGCACAGCTGTGTTTTTAGGACCAGGTACATTTGAGTAGAATGACAAAGATATTCCTGCTTAGCCTACCCCTTTATTGGAAATGTCTAGAATATCAGCCACAGGGGTCCCTGCCTGCAGCCTTTCCAGCCCCCCCCCCCCCTCCGTTGCCCTTCTCAGCTGGTCTGGGAAGCAGGACAGCCTGTTGTCCGGGTCTCAGGACAGACTGCCTGGTCCTGAGGGCAAGCCTTTCTCTCCTGCTTGTTCAGCCTGAAGGAGAACTGTGGGAACCAGCAGCTTCACTTTGGCCGGCCCTCCCGAGCACACAAGACTAGCCCAGGCTCCAAGAGAGCTCAGGGACACTGTGCAAGGCCTGAAGACACTTAGCTCAGATAACAGCTGTGTTACTATTCTGCTTCAACTGACAAAGCCACAGGGACTGTGCTTGCTTTCCTCTGCCGAGATCTCCTCTGCACACACACACATACACATACACACATACACACACACGCACAGTCTATGCACACACACACACACACACACACACACACACACATAGCCCCAGCCTGTGTGCTCCTGGCACCCCACTCCCATTGTGGCCCACCTCTTCGTCAGCAGGACTGACCCCATCACTCCCCCAGGTTCTGCCCACCAGAATCCCCCCGCTTTTCCCTACCACAGCCAAACAGACCCTCTGAATAGGCAACAGGACCTTCTAGAACCAGCTGGACCCTTGGCCAGCAGCAGGCAAATTTTGGTCTGCTCTCATCAGGTACAAAAGGCGGTATCCGTATTCTCTTCTGAGCATTCTCAGTAAGGCATATGGATGTAGAATTTAACATCTTTGTGGAGCGTGGTTTTTTTTTTACATATTTGTATGCAGTTGAGGGCCTGTTGTAGAATTCTCTCCCTGTATCTTACTATACTGTTAAAGAAGCTGAATTCCATGTTGCCAACAGACACGTGAAGTGTTCCCGAACCTTCCTCCAGGAAAAGCCATTCAAGCCTGATTATTTTTCTAAGTAACTTCAATTAAATTGAAGAAAAAAAAAAAGCTGTGTTCTGTGTATGGTCTATTTGTGGCTCGTTGCTGAGACTGGGGTGGAGTGGGATGGGCTGTGCCCTTCAGCCTGTGGTCACCCAGCTCATGTGTGAGTGTGAACGTGAGACACAGCTGTAGTAAACCCTCCTCTACCCCGTGACCAGGTCCTCTTAACTGGATGGATGGGGCTTTACATCACCCGCTCTTCTCTAGAAGATCTGTGCTCTCTGGAAAGCCCGCTGCCTAGTGTGGTCCTGCCACCGTGTCAAAAACAAGGCAGTGAAGACCCTTGTGCGTGGTGGCAGAGCCAGTGTGCAAACCTAGGCTAATGTGTCCTCACACCCTACACCCTGGCACAAGACCGTGTCTCTTTGCCCCTTCCTTCCCTCCTTCCTTCCTTCCTTCCTTCATGATTTATTATTTTTAATGTACACTGTGGTTTTGCCTGCATGAGAATGCTAGATCCTCTGGAATTGGAGTTACAGACAGTCGTGAGCGGCCATGTGGATGCTGGGAATTGAACCTGGGTCCTTCAGAAGAGCAGCCAGTGCTCTTAACCACTGAGCCATCCCTCCAGCCCCCTCAACTGCCCATTCTTACAGCTAGGAAACCACAGTCCCCGCTGCAGACTCCACTGTGTCTTTGGCCACATCACCTGCTACGGCTTCATGGTTGGTGTCTTAGTTTACTTTTATTCTTGATGGTTTGGGCTCACGCTGTGAGGGCTACAGTCCATCGTGGGGGGGACGGTGCTGGCAGGTGATCACATGACATCCCTAATCAGGAGGCATGGGGAAGGTGACGCTGGTGCCCAGCTCCAGTTCTTTTTATTCAGTTCGGAATCCCAACCCAGGCTGTGATGCCACTCATATTTAGGGTGGTCTTAGCATCTCAGTCTAAAAGCATCCCCCACAGGCATGCCTAGAGGACTGTTCCCATGGTGATTCTAAACCCATTGATTTGGCAATTGGCCTAGTTAGGGTTTCTATTGCATGACCACAGCAACTCTTATAAAGGAAATGCATCTAATGGGGAGGTTTGTACGTTCTGTGTTTCAGTCCATTATCAACCTGTTGGGACGTGGTGGTATGTAGGCAGATGTGGTACTGGAGCTGGGAGTCCTATATCTTGAGCCACAGGCAACAGGAAGTGAACTGAAACATTGGGAGTAGCTTGAGCCTATAAGAGACCTCAAAGCCAGCCTCCAGAGTGACACACTTCCTCTAACAAGGCCACACCTTCTAATAGTGCCACTCCCTTGGGGGCCATTTTCTTTCAAACCACCACAACAATCAAGATTAGCCGGCACAGTTAAGCTGGAGATGGGTACTTGATGAGTATGTTTATTTGGCTCATGATTCAGGTATCAGAACTATGCAGGTGTCATTGCCCAAATCCCTTCCCTATGTATTTCCACGGAGAAATCCCACTTGAAAGCATCTAGGAGCGAGTCTCAGCAAGCAACACAAAACAGGTATCCGTGAAACAACGGAAGGAGTGAGCTTGCTGTGCAGGAAACTCATGATCCCAGCAGTCACTGAAAGCAGGGGGATTGCCCTGAGCTTGAGGTAAGCCTGAACAAAATTCTGTGACTCTGTGTGTGTGTGTCTGTCATGTGTGACCCTATGTGTGTGTGTGACTCTGTGTGTGTATGTGTGTGTGTGCCCACGCGCACACGGTCCAAAGGGCAACCTTGAGTATCTAATTCCTCAGATCTGTCCACCTTATTTTTTGTGACAGGGACTCTCATTGGCCTGGGGCTCACCAGTTCAGCGAGGCTGGCTGGTGAGGAAGCCCCAGTGTTGGGGTTACAAGTGTACACTTCTCTGTCCCGCTACTTTTCTCTCTCTCATGAGTTCTAAAGATCTAACTTGCATCCTCATGCCTGTGCAGCCAGCACTAACTACAGTGAGTCCTCCCGTTCAGCCCTCGGTTCTGTTTTTACCACCCTGTATATGATGGCCGTTGTGCCCTCTCACCGGCTGCCTTTGTCACCAGCACCAGGGCTCACACTCGTGTCTGGTGTCACCATTACCCTTGCAGTTGAGAGATGCCCAGACGGCGGGACTTAGTCATCTCAAATGGGCAGGAAGCACTGCCTGTCAATCAGACAAGATGTGTCTGCCAGCACCTACCCCTGTCCCTTCCGGCTGTTTGCAGGCCCCGTGGGAAACAGCAAATGAAGACCATCCTGGCCACCTCTGCTTCCATCAGAGAGGGGCTCCAGTCTGCCCAATCAGTAGGAAATTCTGATAGTGTCATGGGCGCCCTCTGTCGGACACTGCAGGAAGTGCAGAGAATAAGGTTTAGGTGGGCACAGCTCCTCCAACCTCCCCCGCCCCCAGACCACCACCATTGCCGCCACCACCGATCCAAGTCACTAGGGAAAGGGGCGAGGTACCCCATCTTGAAAAGACGTGGGTTTTTCTGGAGTATGACTTCCCATTTTTTTTGATGAGAACATTTTATAATAGACACATACTTAAATAAAAACAAAAGGATTTTTTTTAAAGAAAGTAAAAATTAGTTTACACCCAAATTCAAGTCAGAAATCAAAATATGTTCTGATTTCTTGAATGGTCTGCCAGGGAGAGAAGAGGGCCCATCATTCAGATTATGGGCATGAAAAATAGCCTCTGCATTAAGGAGCTTCCTCTTCTTTAATTTTTGTTTGTTTGTTCCTAGAGCCCAGGCTGGCCTCAGCCTTGCACGTAACAAAGGCTGACCCTGATCGTCTGACCTTTCTACCTCGCTCACCAATTCCTGGAACCACAGGCTGCAGCCCCACCTTCAGGTTTAGAATGGAAGCCGGGGATTAGATCCCATGCTAAGCAAGCACTGCCCCAGCTCAGCCACGCACTCAGCTCCTCTTCTGGGTTATTTTTAAGACGGCAGTGCAGCTTCGTGTAGAAACATAATGAGGGCTTTCCAGTCTTCCACGCTGTCGTGAAGGAGCCTGGCCTAGTCACGGCCAGGTCGGAAACAGTCACTGCCTGGCCCAAAGCAGATGGCAGGACAGAGAACAAGGAGCCTAAAGCCGGAATGGGCTCTGGGTGTGAACCCGATGGTTCCTAGAGAGCTACTCTGCCCCGTCCCAACACCTCAAGGGGCCTTCATGTAGGCGGACATCTCTGTCTCTTGTCCGCCATCATGTGTCACCCTGCCTGGGACCAGCCACTGCTCGGGGATGGGCAGCCGTCTCTGCTTGAGATCGGCTGCTCTCAGGGCCCGCTGCCTGCCGCCACATGGTCTGCTACCACCGCTTGGGGACCTACAGCATTTCTGCTGCCTACTGCCGCCGGGGATCCTGCCGCATTTTTAACCTTGCCATTACACTTGGGAACTGGTGGGGGGAGGGATGCCACGTGGCCACGTGGGAGGACAGTAGCTGTCGATGGGAATCCCAGGCAGAAGCCAACTGAACAAGAAGAGTGAAGACAGACATTCAGGGACATAAAGGTGGTGTGTGTGTGTGTGGGGGGGTGTCTCGAACTCACAGCTCAAGGTGTGGTCTGTGAGCCTTGGCGGCTATCTGCTAATATTCACTTTTTCTGGCACTACCTAGCGACCTGCCCTGTGTTTTCAGAAGCTCCGCCCTGTGATTTCAGAAGCTCCCCCTGTGTTTTAAGAAGCTCCACCTGGCGACTGGTAGGTGGATCACATTTGCAAATTGAGAGCGTGGGTCGCCAGTAAAGCTGTGGCCCTGAGGGAAGACATCTTACACCGTTGATTATCATTCCAGAAGCCTGGATTTGGAGCCTCTGGTTGCGCAGCCTGTGCCCTGCACAAAGTCCAGTTCAGGGACCGCTTGGCATTCACCCTGAAAAGCCCGACCCCCTTCTGAGTTCTGCTTGCCAAGCTATGGGCCCCAAATGCAGGATGTGGGACGACCTAAAGAGCGTGCTGATGGCGGATTGCACAGCGCCCGGGGCTTCTGCCGAGCTGCTGGGCAGAAAAACTCCACAGCCCTCATCTGCAGTTTTAAAATTCATAAACCCTTGAATATTAAGGAAAAAAATCCTTAGAAGATTTTTTTTTTTAAGATAGAATTGAAGTAAGCTCGCTTGGCAGCAAACCCTGACCTTAGCTAACACAGGCTAATTATAGTCTGTGCTTGTCCCACTTACTGTGAAAGTCTGAGCTTTTCCTGCCGAAATATTCACAAGTTTTACCAGGGGTGAGCACTCGGGCTCTCTGCTGGGAGGCAGGGGCTGGGGGTGGATGTGCATGCGCTATACATTGTATTTGAAAGTGTCTTCATTCAAACGCACATCAGTGCCAAGAGTTTTGGATTCAGTCTGGGAACTTGGGCCACCTTGATTTTACAGATGGAGAAACTGAGGCCCAGAAAGGTCAGGTCATCGCCCATCTCTTCATCTATTCCAAGGGGCTTGTGGAGTAGGACGCACCTCTGTGTAGAGCCTAGAGACAAGGTTTCTCTGTGTAACCGCCCTGCTGTCCTGGAACTCACTCTGAAGACCAGGCTGGCCGAGAACTCACAGAGATCCACCTGCCCTTGCCTCCCAAGTGCTGGGATTAAAGGTGTGTGCCACCATCTCCTGGGAAGCCCCAGCTCTTAAATTCACTCCTAGCTGGATTGTGGGATTTTACTCTGTACACACATGTGTGGCCTTCAGTTAAAGACTCCGAAGCTTGCTCTCAAATTTCTATAGTTCATTCTTCTGGGCCTCTCTCTATGGGAACTACACTTAACTCTAACCTACTTGGCCTCTCAGGATTAAGGATCAATCCATAATTCACAGGCCTGTAGGCATTCCCCTCAGCTTGTGGTCACAGGCTGGGTGTTAATTCCCTCCAGACAGAAAGTCTTCATAAAGGGGTTGAGAATGTAGCCGGTCGGTAGGCTGCTGCCTAGCTGGCATCAAGTCTTGGGCTCCACTCCCAGTACTTCAAAAACCAGGTACTTGGGAGGTAGAAGCAGAGGGTCAGAAGTTCAAGGTCACCCTCAGCCACAGAGTGAGTTCAAGGCCAGCCTGCCCTG